CCCTCCTAACAATATGTTTAAAGCATGAAGACGTGACGTATGGCCATCCTGGCATCCAGGGAGCATTTGGGCTGTACTTCTTCCAACACAGATTGGTTTGTTCTTTGGGGCATCCATGGTACTTTTAGTATTCTGCTCCAACACCATAGCTCAAATGCATCCATTCTTCTACAGTCTTCCACAGGACCCGGAAGTGTTTTGATCTCTTGTGCACAGGGTTGCTATGAGTTGAAAGTGAATCATACATAGCACCTAACGACAATAACAACAGTTTCATCCTCATGTTTTTCAATTGCTGACAAAAAATGTTTCCAACTTCTTAAATACTCATATAAGCCTAATAAGTTAAAGCAATAAATATGAATATTGAAATTATTCATGTTCAATATTCTAATGAAGTTACAAACTTAGTACAAGTGTATATTTTCCAGAAATTTAGAAGTCTACGTTAATACATAATTTCTCTGAAATATTCAAATATGCCTTGTTATCTAAAACTTTAAAAGCATTCAAATGCAAAAAAAGGTCCAGGTATAGTGCTGTGGGATAAGCACTGGACTGCTAGCAACAAGATTGGTATTTCAAATCCACCAGGTGCTCTTCTGAAACACAGGGCTGCTGTGAGTCAGAACTGACTTGATGGTTCTGAACAAGACCAATAGCAATGTAAAATGAAGGAAGCATGAGAACTCTCTATACAATAAGCACTGGACTGCAGAACACATGATGGGTGGTTTGAGTCCACCATTTGCTCTACAGGAGAAAGATGAGACTTTCTGATTCCGCAAAGACTTACAGCCTCGGAAACCCTACGTAGGGTCACTATGAATTGGAACCTATGCAACTGCACTTAACCACAACAACAACTATGTAAAATCACACATCCCTATTCTTTCTAAACTTAACACAAATTATTAACATTTTGTGCCTAGTTGATTGTTTCTATACTTCATTGTGATCTTTTTGACATTCTGAAGTTGACTGTAAGGATAAAAATTGTGTCGCAGTAAGAACTTGGTTGTCACCACAGGACTAGATTTGCTTACCGACCAGAAATTGCATCTGAATTTTGTCACCTGAATCTATAGAAATTCACAGGCAGTTTCCTTAAAATCCTTTTTGTGTTGTTAGTTTTTGTTTAATATATTTGCTTGCTAATAATGGGGGATTCCAAATCAAAGTCCTATAAATGGTGCTGTTTTCCATCTTAAGTGCTTTGAAGTTAAGCTAAACCCTCATCAATTCTTTTGAATCCATTTTCAATTTTTCGATGTGATATTAGAAAATTATGTAGCTCCTTAATCAATCTCTTAATTATTTTGATTGGATTAAATTACTATATGTGTATCTATAGGCTAATTCTGCTTTGAATTATTTTCATAGTAGTGCTACCTGGAAACGTCCTAATTCTATGGATACAACAATGCCATTTCATTTAGATTCTGCATATATTTTTCTAACACTGTGAATGTATCAAAGCTTTAGAATGATGGTTAACATTACAGAAATAGATTCATGAGTGTCTATGAGTTAGCTGTAGCTAAAATGAGGCTTTCTGCTCTCGTAAAGATTTACAGCCTCAGAAACCCTATATAGGGTTGCTATGAGTCGGAACGGACTCCATGGCACACCACCGCCAAGGGTGTCGTAAGGCTGTGTAACTAGCAAGGTTCCAGTGACAGATAACCATCAGCCTTTATGGAGCTGGAGCCTCTGAACCAGTGGGGGCTTGGCTGATGGCAACGGGGCTGGAAAGGAGAGACTTGCTCATGCTTTTGTTCTCTTGTGGCCTTTGTGGGATCTGTGATCCACACCTGCAGGGTTTCCTCATAGTCCTGTGTGAAACACACTTCTACAAACTGGGAAATTCACTTTCTTATTTTGAGTAGAGGAAATAAAACTCCAATGAAACTGCTTCATTCAAACAAAATTGCAAATATTTAATAAACATTTTTATATTCCCAATAGAAAGTTATTGTTGTTGTTTTAAAGGTTAGATGGGCTCTTTGTCATTCTCTGTCATCTCAAACATTTCTGCATTCTATACAGCCACAATATAAAGACAGAACAATCATATCAAAATTGTTGTTAAGTGCCATCGAGTCGGTTCCTACTCATAGCAACCCTGTATAGGGTTTCCAAGGAGCAGCTAGCGGGTTTGAACCGCCGACCTCTGGTTCACAGTACAGTGCTTATCCTATGCAGCACACCAGAATTCCATATTAAAATGAAAACATATAATATACTCATTTGTAAGGAAACAATATGAATAATAGGCATTGTAGGGAAATACATGAATAATATATGAGAAAACCGGCAGAAAGGCAATTATTGTGGCATTAGCAAAGCCAAATTGAATATGTTTAATCAACTGTGTAGTTAGTTGATAAAATAACAAGCTAAACTAAGTTTTATTCAGTATTTGTAATTTTTAATTAGTTGGAATGTTTTTCTCTCATTACAGTAACCATATATAAATACAAAGAATTAGGAAAATAAAAAAACTAAAACTGAATTCTGTAGGATAAGCACTGTACCACAAGGTCGGTTTGAACCACAAGGTCAGTTGTTTAAACTTTCCAGTCACTCCTTGGAAACCCTATATATGGTCGCTATGAGTCATAACCAACTCAACGGCACTTAACAAGAACAAGAATACATTATTGTTACAGGATAAAGTTAATCTGTTTTCTTTTGATTCTGTTAAATGATTTAGAATGCGCTCATCGTTGGAAAAGGAACTAGAGCAGTTGGAGTCCGCCTTGTCCGTTTGGAAATGGAAGTATGAAGAACTGAGAGAACGGAAGGCAACACATCTGAAAGAGGTATGGAGTCATAGGGTGTAGATGGAGGAGTGAAATGGTTCCCTCTGTTGAATGTGTCGCACTGTGCACAGATGGTAGAGTTCCCAGTGTGGAAGATGAAAGGAGTCTCAAAAACAATTTTCTAATATAAAATGCATATTTGAACTCAGATGTCAGTAGTGGGCATTTTCAAACTGAAACCATCCGGTTCTAAGTCACACACATTTTTCTCCCCCAAGATTTTTTTTATTGTGAATTGAGTTGCAGTTTACAGAGTAGATCATTAGTTTAACATTCAACTGATCATACACTTGGCTTCATCTCAATGATTGCAATCCCCTCCAAGTAACAACACTTAGCCTACTTCCCTGTGGTTCTTATTACCATTCCATCCTCCGTCCCAATGCTTCTTAGGTAAATGGTGTCCTTTGTCCTTAGGTAAATGGTGTCCTTTGTCCTTAGGTAAATGGTGTCCTTTGTCCTTAGGTAAATGGTGTCCTTTGT